TTAAATGGTCTTATTCCTCCTTTAAAAAGAAAACAAAAGAAATAATCTTTTCAACACAAAATATATTTATTTATTTTTAGTATTTCAAGTTATTTGATATTTTTGTCGACTGTGTGATGAATATTATTCAAACAATATATGCTGAATACTTTATATTATAATATTGTTCAATATTGAGAATGTTATATATCCATATTATAAAATATTATGTTAAAACTTGCTTAACATCTGAAGAATATTCTAACGCTTATGTAATTTTTAATATTTGTAAATTTTCTACCTTTTAATTCGTTATATAGATTGTAAAGGGCTTCATGATAAGATCATGTGATCTTCTGGAAGTCCTACCAGTAATATATTCAATGTAAATTTACTTTGTTCATATTTTTCTGGAAAAAAAAAAAAAAAAATATTTGTAAAGTTAACTTAATTATTTAACTAAAACTTAATTATTTCATATTTATTTATAAGAAAAAGTTCTATACTTACTGTAATATTTGCTCAAGTAAAACTTCTTTTATGGTTCCATTTTCTCCTTGAGTTATAATATTAAGCTCCATCTTGTGATTTAGGTCAAAAAGATATCTGAAATTTGGGCAGTTTTTACTTTCTGATACTTTGCTAGCGTTATCTAATGGACCAAACACTGATAAAACATTAGGAATAAGATACCAGTCATTTAAAGTCAACTAAATAAATGAGATTAAAATAAATGCAAATATAAACTATAAATGGTTTTTTAATCTTTATCATTTAACTTTGGTTCCAAGAAAAATCAGTGATAAACTTTGTTTAAATAATCAATCTTGGTCAAGTCAAATTTTAAACTAGTGACCACCATTTAAAAAAATGAATATGTTGTATATGTAAACTGTTATATTAGGATCTTAATAATAACCACAAATTAATTATATTCGTAAAATTTTTCTATGATTTATTTGGAAATAAATCTTTTTAAAACGCATAGTTCTTTTACAGTCTGATGCTGGTTCGCTATTGGTATTCCAACGTCGGGCAGCCGCTAATTGTTCGCTGTAGATTTGATGCAGGCACGCCGCCGTCGGCATGCCAGTTCAAAGCTGCATTTGGTCCACTTTTGTTATGCCGACGATGGCGCGCCTTGCAAGGGCCGTTTTCGGACCATCAATATTTAGCCAGCGTCGGCGCGCCGCTAACGGACCATTATTACCATTTTCACTGGGATGAACTAATAATGCTTACGAACTGAAATCTTGAAGGTGTATTAGTAAAAGGACAAATAACTGTAAAATAATTCTTTGTATAACGCATTTGCCTCAGTAAACATTTTGTCTTTCTATATCCGTGATGAATACTTTTATTTACCCGGTCTAATAATTAGTCATTCATTTTGATTGAAGGAATGACATAACGTGATAATCAAATCTCAAACAGTGTCCATCTAATAATAGGACTACAATTCTTTAAATATTGTTCTCTTTCAAATACTCATCAAATTCTGGTGTCAATATTTCCTTTCCAAATATCTTTCTCAATTTGCTCTGTTTCAGCTACAATAAGTTACTCTACTAGTACATCTAAAATATAATTGATTAAATCAGTTATATCTATTTGTACTTTAAAAGGAATGAAAAAGCATTAAATAGAAACACATTATTATAACATAAAAGGTTAGGTAAATATGTATTTCAGGACCAACGACACAGGTTTTGAAGTGGGGGGCACAATCATTATTTGTGGAAAAAGTCCTTTATATCAAGTTTTAAAAAAAAAAAAAAAAAAAAAAAAAAAAAAAAAAAAGTTCAATAGAAAAAAAGTGGGTGTTCAATAGAAAAAAAGTTCAATAGAAAAAAAGTTCAATAGAAAAAAAGTTCAATAGAAAAAAAGTAAAAAAAAAAAAAAAAAGTTCAATAGAAAAAAAAAAAAAGTCAATAGAAAAAAAGTCCCTGGCCTCCCGTGTCGTTGACCCTGATTCTCTAAAAACATGATATATTATCTTTTTAATAACAAACAAACCTAGTGATTGCGAGCCATTTTCCTTGTAAAATTTAAGGCTCTGTTGATTGAGACTTGTCTCTGGCCATTGATTGTTAAATTATCATCTTTTACATAAAATCGTAACCAAAATGAACGTCAAAATCTGAAAAAAAATTATGCAAACAGATCATATTAAAAAAAAAATGTTTCTTAAGTTTGTGTGAATACAATTCAGCTATATGAGTGCTAAAAATTAAAGCTATTTAAAAACATATTGATGATTTTTTAATACCAATTTTGCAGCAGGTAATAGTGGGTAATATTTTTGCCCTCCTCTTAACTTTTTGTTGGTACAATGTCTTATTTTTAATGTATGTAACATTAATTTGGTCATTTGTGCTATATTGATACCTTGCAAGCATCTATTTTTTTTTTCACGAAACACACAATTGAATTCTCTTCTAATAACATTGAATAATATTGTAGTTCTTTCCCTGTCTTTGTTTTACCATCCAGCCGTCGATTTATTGTTTATCAATCTTTAATCAAGGAGAAAGTCCTGATTTAAAAAAACATTGCTTTCTTACACCCTTATCTGCTAATACTGCTTCTGCTTTACTATTTAGATTGAAAGACTTTGTTCCAAAACATAAGGAAAACTTAGTTGTCATTTTTTGAATACTTTATTATTTATTTATGTACAGCTAATAAAAATATGTTTACAAGTTACTTCAACAATAATTCAAAGCATAGATAGCATGAGTATTTAAGTTACTTCCCGTGTGATATAAATAAAAACTGAAGACTAAAAATATAAACGAAATTTAAGTTAATTTAACATAATTAACATAACCCTAAAAATATATGTATATCAATTTTTTGGTACAAAAAAGTGTCCCACAAATTTCCATTTATTAGTAATTTTTTCTATTTAAATATGAAAAACTTAAAACTATAAATTCAAAACAATGAGGTTACAAGAACACCTCTTTTGCTAATAATTATTCATTTAAATAAATACGTAAGAAGATTATGTTACTTGTAATATTTTTAACATTAACTTTTTTTAGGGACATAAAGTTCATATAAAAATTGGTGACCTTTGGGCAGTTGCTATAGCAACTCCAATAATGTGTTGTCCTCAGAAAATGGAAACTTCTAGAGAAATAGATTCTACAAGTAGCGTTGACTCAACATGTTCCACAACAACAGTAATCCTTACAGCAACATCAGCAGGTGCAGTTCCATTAAGTGTTTTGATACATAATGGAAAATGCACAGCTTTCTATACTCTTACATTTAGTCTACTTAAAGAAAAATATGCTGGATTATTTGGAGGACATTAGTTATTTAAAAGTTAAAACTTACTTCATCAACGCTTGATGTTTATTTTGTGCTTATAAAGTACAATATAATAAAAAATTTAACATCACGATAGCAAATTTTATTTAGTTATAAAAACATCAATACCATTAAATGTCTAATTGGTATATAATAAAAACCAGCTGGGGTAACTAGTTTTTTATCTCCTGACTGGACAATTGTGTATTAGAATATCAGAATAAACTTTTATCAGAAACATAAACCTGGCAGCTATATTCTTGCTGACTAAGTGCTGATTCTTATCAATTACTGCTGTTATTCGATAACTATTATGTTATTTATGTAAAACAATATGACTGCCCCTTAAAGTTAAATATTTATTTGTTTGTTTAATAAAGCCTTTATATACCAGCTTGAGTTTTAATTTACTATTATTAATTTTTTTTTTATTCAACATTTTCGCTTTCAATAAGACTGCAAGCAACCACAAATTAATTGGAAGTTACCGGAAGATAATGTTTATAGAGCAAGATAACAAATGACAGACGCCTAAAAAGATTGCAGATTATATAAATTAGGAAAGCAAGATGAAGGAAGCCAAATCCAAAGAACTTATGTTCAAGGAAAAAAATTAGATAAATAAGAGTTTTTGGAGCATTACGGAACAGTCACACTAAAAGGATGAGACTTAATTGAATGACAAGTAACACGATAATGAATTTTAGTAGATACCACAAGAGACGCTCGCTTTTTAGAGCAGTGCCCATTATAGTATTTGTATAAAAGAGAAAGAAAAGCAACATTACGACGATGTGATGGAGGTTAAGTGCAAGATTTTTCATGTAAAAAATTTCAATAAAAATGCTTAAATTAGGAACGGATTTTGTTTTAAAAAATAAAGAGAGGGAAGGGGGTCCCAATTTTATGATAGTCTTTTCAAATGGGTATAGGAAAAAAGGACAACTGGGGACAAAATTGTCTAAAATATGGTAACGCCCTTTACGAATGGCTCCTTATAAACAAAAAACACAACGCACCATTTTAATAAGTTTATTTTATATAGATAACTAAAGTTAATAAGTAATAAGAAGACAGAATTATTTTCTCCAATACTAGAAGAAATTGCATTAGCCCCTCCCTCACCCATTAGATTCTTTCCCCGCCCCCCACCCCACTCCTATTTACCTTTTTTTACATCTCTCTACTAGCTAGAGGAAGTATTGTTAAAAAATAGGCATCACCCATAAAAACCCCTGCATCCACCCCTGTGGCATTAAATTTTTTTTCATTATTTTGACTTTAGTTTTATTTTGAAGTAAACTTTATGTATTACGTGAAATTGCTTTCGGTTAATTGGCGGCTGTTTTATTAATTTAATTTTTTGTTTAATAAAGGATGCGAACTTTTGTCAAGTTTAACTATTTAAAACCTTTATTTGGAAAACTAGTATGCAAACCATTTCCGAGTTTAACATTTATTATACTCCAAGAGAGCTACGTCTCAGATATTAATAAAGCTTGCTTACAATATTTCTATTAATTTTCATTATTTTTTACGGGAAACCCTAGTTAAGTTTGCGCACTATTGAACTTGTGTAAATAAAGCAATATATTTTTCCCATAAAAAACATTCTTTAACAATAGTACTTTTTTAAATACATAATAATTTTTTTTTTACTTTAAAAATATAATTATTATATTCAAACATATAAAAACACTGAA